CTTTCAGATATTCTAACCCTTTTACTTCGAATAAGTACAGGATCGAGCTCGATCCTACGACATGGGTAAGTATCACGATCTTCAACTACTATAGGAACATCCTCAGTGGTTTCATCTTGTTGATACGCATCCCTTAGACCAGAAAGTTCATCATAATCTACTTCTACATCAAGTAACTCTGGTATGTCCCATATGCCTCGATGTTTGACTCGTTGTACTATTTGCCAATCTAGACCATACTTGTTGTCATTAACAAAGAAGACTTATTGCACTTGACTAAGTAGGACAAATGGATCATCTTTGTACCAACGACATTTGACATCGATACTTTTGAAATGTGCATCAATATGTATTGTTTTTCCCTTAGCAAGATTGAACCATTCACATTGGAACAGAACAACACGATATTCAAAATATAGTTCATTTCCCATACTTTACAATATTGAAAATTGAAATTGAATTCATTTAACTTTCAAGAAATGGAAATCATTTAAGTTATCATAAATTGAAATCAATTAGGGGATTTTTCAAGTGAAATTTTTATGAAATATAAATAAAAAATTAAATCTGGCACAAAAATCATAAACGAGCAAAAATCACATGGATGTCACAAAGGGGCAAAGAGTCACGTGATTCCTGTCAATAAAAATAATTTTATTTGAAACGTCTCATATAATACTCTGTAAATTACTGAGGGGGAAAGGTAATGAATTTGACGTAATCACTACGACAAAATTGTTTTTTAGTGATGTGTTTTGACGACGAACAATAAAATTTGTTGAAAAAAAGTGATTTTCGACAACAATTTCAAATGTTTCTGGTGGTAAACTTTTTTATGATTTTTTTGGTAAACATATTTTGTAGTCGTCGCTAATAGTCTTTGCAAAAATGTTCCCTCCAAAAAATAAATTGGCACCAATGTTGGTGCTAAATGCTAATTTTATGGGTGACAAAAAAAATTGTTGCCAAAATAATTTTTCGGTCGCAAAATTTTTGTTAAATAACAAAAAATAAGAAAACAAAAATAATTATACTAAATGACAATACATGTTTGTTGCAAAAAAAAAGTCAAAATTATTTTTGTTTAACAACAAATGATATTTGGTCACAGAATATGTTAAATACAATGTGCACTCTAATGGATTAAAACGACGTCGTTTTGAAGTTAAAAGATTATAACTCTTGGTTCCAAAACGACGTCATTCTGGAACCCTAAATTAAACCCTTGTCTTCTTCTTCGACAAATGTATCGATCTTGCCCCCATTTTGCCCCACCTTGTCGCTTCTCTGCTCTATCGAATTACTACGACTGTAAGTCTCTATCTCTCTCCCTCTCCCTCTCTCTCTCTCTCCATATCTATCTATATATATGCTCTCTCTGTATCGCTCTGTGTGTATCTATATATCTGAGACACAGATCTTGAAACACACACAGAGCTAGCCACGCACACAGACACAAAGAGAAACACATACACACATAGTCAGTCACACACACACACACACACACTTAGTCGCGCACATACATAGCCAGTCATACACACACAGAGTCAATCACACACACAAATAATTATAGATACACACACATAGATTCTATATTATTTGATTTAGTGTTTGATGGGCTAAGTATGTGAGCTGATTTATCTTTGCTTAATGTATTTGAAATATTGGGTGCAAGGTGTTTGTTGAATTGTGTAAATGAGTTACATGAATCAAAGAATTTCAACAAAAACCAAAAAAGCCAAAATTCTGGCTTTAATCCTTCAAAATAATACAACGTATCAAGAACTCTCCTTCAGGTACACCTGCTAACCATTCCACCCCTCTCTAGCCATGCAAACAATGCAAATTAGCATACATAAACATAGCAACACAGGCTTTGCAAACAGATCCCAACAGCCCTTGTCATCTAACACCATCACCCCTTTACACCATCACCCATACAGATGTTTCATATCCTGAAGCAATGCCAATTTCATAGCATAGGGGGACAGCAAGAGAGCAGAAAAATCCATAGACCTTCTATCTTGAATAGCCTGAGTAGCAGGCTTATTTGCAACCATATTTGCCTTTGTAGACATGCTGAATCTCAGCATCCAGCATCTTAGGGAATTTGTGCAATTTGATTTTGTTTTTGACATGTGCTTGGGAATGAGTTACCAAAGTGTGATATTCAGAAGCCACTGACAAAAGGAACATTTTAATACACAATAAAACACTTGGTTTATATTTTAGGCTTCACCACAAAGACTGTGACTTGGTGGTACTCCAATCTTCCACGCCCATGGTGATGTGTCTTCGCCTCCTTCTTGATTATTCTTTTTATTCTCTCTCTTGACTTTCAAATGCACTGTACATGTCAGAATTTGTATTTTTAAACAAAATGAATGTATCTCTGTTTTGATATTCGATGTATGATTTTTGATATGGGGATTGAACCTATCCTTCGCTTCATCTTTGACATTTTCCATTTTTTAAACTTTAGTGGGATTGACACAAGGGTTCAAATTTCGTTAATTCTACTTGTTTATTAATTGATTAGTTCTATTGTGCACAAACCACCTTTAGCTACAAAAATCTACTTGATCTATATACAAACAAAATTAAATAAAATTTTTTTAATTTTATAAAGATTTGTACATAATTAACTATTTTTTCAAACGATACTAATTAAACAGTTTATCTTGTTAAGATTAAATAATTCATATTTAATAAAAAATTATATTGTATTAAATTTAAATATTGGTTGATTTAATTTGTAATCCAATTGACCGATCAATATGGTTTAATAGCATAATCAATATAAATTTGATTATATATTAGAATCCCGTTATACATAACTTATATGACACTAATCTAATTATATTTAGATATACCATGAATATACTCACTCCGTTACTAGTATTAGCATGTATTACATACATTCTTCTAAGATGAATTGATTTTATAACGATGAAGTAATTGAGTACATTTGAGTTTTGATTAGTATTGCCTTTCGTAGCATTGGTGGACCCTAATCATAAACTCGTTACTTAGGGATTAGCCTTACTTTAGAGGTTCACTCTATAAAAGGGCATAATTAGCCCCAATTGTTGCATATTCTAATTTCATATTTATTTCTTACTAAAAAATAAAAGTGCTCAATTGTTCACATTGCACACTCTATGTATTAGATGTTTAAATTGTGCTCTTCATAATTGTTGTTGATATTGTTCGAATTTTTTGATATACGTTGAGGTTTGATTTAATTTCATTTCATTTTTTCTCTATTCTTGTTCAATGGAGAAGTGGCAAAAAATGGACAAGAGTTGGATGAAAATTAGGGAAAGAAAAAGTAAGCAGTATGTTTATGGGGTGGAGGCATTTATTAATTTTGCATTGCCACGAACAGGATGAGATGGAAAGATTCGGTGTACATATAAATACTATTTCAATATATACTAGCACACTGAAGAGACTGTGAAAAATCATTTGTGTTGGAAAGGAATTATGGCGTCCTATACGGTGTGAATACACCATGGAGAACCCGTTCTCAATGTACTACAAGATGATGCTAATATCATAGGAGGAAATGTTTAAGATGAACTGATTGATGCTGAAGATGATGCCCATGATGAATTACCTGAAATGTTAGGGGATGTGGGCATGGAGAATTTTATAGATAATAATTTGGTAGAATCAATTTTTGGAGAAGATGATGATATCAATGGGAGGGAATACGTACAAAATTTTGAAAAATTATTGAAGGATGCTCAGCGTGAGTTGTATCCAGGATGTATGAAAGATACTTTGCTCTCTTTTATTGTAAAATTGTTTCATGTGAAGGTGTTAAACAAGTTGAACAATAAGGCCTTTAATATGATNGAAAAAATTGGTTTTGTAGTTGAAAACTTTCACGGACGAGCCTAATGTGACAAAAATGGCGACAAAATTAGTTCATCGCCAAAAATTTTTAGTGACCATTTTTTAACTTTTTGCGACAAGTTAGTTTGTCACAAAAGAGCAAATTTGTTGTAGTGAATTATGATGTCATAGCATTTTTTTCTTTTTGAAGAGGGATTTCATAGCATTAAAATATACAAGGAAAGGTTAGTAGGAGCACTTGTTGTAGGATTCTCCATCTCAAAAGGAATATGATCACTCAATGAATTATAACTCAAATTTAAGAACAAAAAAAAATACAAGGAAATCAACCACACAGGAGAAGGCAAAAGAAATAATGTGTGTAAAAATAAGTCAACAATCACAAATAACCACACAGAAGATACACCAACTCAGATTTTGCATTAATAGAAACATCGTATTGTAATATCATTATACATGTAACTTACCCAAAGTAAATTATACATGCAACAATACTACTGTCAAAATAACATAATAAAAAGAGTAATGTTATTTAGATCTAATCTATTGACCTAATGATGTGGTTTCATTATGGCCATTAAATTAACACTAAATTTCAATGCTTAAAGGGGCCTAAAATTAATCCAAATACTACAGTAAATTAGTCAATAAATTAGGTGAATAACTTAGGTCTAAATATTATTGTTCTAATAAAAATAGCAAAGTCACAATGACCAGCNGATGCTAAAGAATAGAAAGAATTTGATCAACAATACCCTTCTTTCACCCAAGATCCACGTAATGTTTGATGGTTTTAACCCATTTGGAAACATGAGCAATTCATATAGTATGTGGCATGTTATACTTATGTCTTATAATTTACCTCCATGGAAATGTATGAAGGAGTCATTCTTCATGATGTCATTCCTTATTCCCGGCCGCAACCACCTAGAAGAGATATTGATGTCTACATGCGACCTTTAATCGATGAGTTAAAATTATTGTGGAAAGATGGTGTTGTAACTTTTAATACATGNGCAATGGTGTAGAAAACAACTCCGTGTGGAGTTGGGAAAAGAACAAGGCATTTGAGACTGCATTGGTGATATATCTTGATGGCACAGTAGACTGGTGGGAAAAAATTCNATAGCAAAGTCACAATGACCAGCAATGGTGTAGAAAACAACTCCGTGTGGAGTTGGGAAAAGAACAAGGCATTTGAGATTGCATTGGTGATATATCTTGATGGCACAGTAGACCGGTGGGAAAAAATTGCAGTCACTGTCCCAGGGAAAGTTGTGGCAAAAGTTAAAATTCACTATGCACTTTTAGTGAAAGATGTAAACGGCATTGAAGCTAGTCTTGTTGAAGTGTCTTCCGANAGGGTTATTTATCATGTCTAGTTTGTAACTACGATATGTCATCACAACCATTAAGAACTAAAATATGTTACACAGGGCATCGTCGGTTCTTACCTCAAGAGCATATTTAGCGTCGAAGTAAGTTATTTGATGGTAAGCATGAGAAACGATTGAAACCTGTAAAGCTATCGGGGAATGAAATTTTGANCACTATGCACTTTTAGTGAAAGATGTAAACGGCATTGAAGCTAGTCTTGTTGAAGTGCCTTCTGGTAGTTCTTCTACATATACTATGAAACATGGTTGTAACGCAAAAGAGATAGCCATGTGCGCCTGTCATCTGACAGAAGCACATGGTACTGTGTGTGCGTGAGTGAGGGGTGTGTGTGTCAGTCAGATTGTGTATGCATGNTGTAACGCAAAAGAGATAGCCATGTGCGCCTGTCATCTGACAGAAGCACATGGTACTATGTATGCGTGAGTGAGGGGTGTGTGTGTCAGTCAGATTGTGTATGCATGTGTGTGTGTGTGTGTGAGTAAGGTGTGTGAGAGTTTGTTAGTGTGTGTGTGCTCATGTGAGTGAGGTGGGTGTGTGTGTAGTTGTGTGTTATATGAGTGACGAGTGATGAGTGACAACTGTGTGTGTTTGTGTATGTGTGTAGGGGTAGGGTTAGGAGTTTGGAGTTAGGGAAAGTGGTTCAACATAAACATAGTATTATGGGTTTATTAGAGAAAGAGAGAGAGAGAGAGAGAGAGAGAGAGAGAGAGAGAGAATATCTTATTGCACGCACTTTGTTGGGGAAGAAGACAAGAGAAAGAGGAAATAAAAGAGAAGGGAAAAGAGGGTTTCACAAATTTTAGGCGTCTGACTCAAAAAATGTGGTTTAGTGACTACATGTTCATTTTTATATCAATCAAACATTAAATAATATATTAATAATAAAATAATTATATTAGTGACAAAAAATTGTTCTCGCCAAAAATTTATTATTTTTCTGGGACGAATTAATATTGTTGTTGAATAGACTCATCCTTAAATAAATTATTAAGATAAATTTTATTTGATTCGCGATGATGAAGTTCGTCGCTGATGAGAGCATGATATTGCATATTTTATATCTCATATCATTCATTTTAGCTATATTAATTATTTATTTCTTTTATTTTAGTTTAGTTTTCTATTTTATGGAGAATCTTTGTGTTCATAGGTAAATGAATATAAAAGAGATGATTTATGATAATTTGGAGGTGGTTGGACTTGAACTGGGAGCATTATAGCAAAAATACAAGCAAAGTGATGTTCTACCAGTAGGTGGTACATGTTTTACAGGTAGGAAATGTCCTAGTACTTTGTCAGAGATGTCCTACCGGTAGGTGAAGGATGTTCTACCGGTAGGAAAACCCACAAAAGTTTTAGAAATTTTGTTAGATAAAGTTCTATTGGTTGGTTTTACTGTTCTATCAGTAGGTTGTGCAAGCGCAAAAGGTTCTACCAGTAAGTATTCAATGTTCTATCGGTAGGTCAATATCAAATTTTGGCGAGGACTCCTTTTCCCAGCCGTTGACCTGTTGAATATTCAAACATATCTTCCAAGACTTTATTGGGGGAAAAAAGAGATAAATTAGGAAAGAGATTTTTGGTTAATTCTTAGAGATACTATAGTATATTTTCAGAGATCTTTTAGGAATAAGAGATAGACATAAAAGGAAAGATGATTTCTAGAAAATCAGTTGTATCTCCATCTCTATCTCTCTCTCCTTTTTCCTATAAACTGGGGGCTTTAGAGACACCTAGTTCTTCCTCCTCATCCTTTTTTTTATTGTTCGTAGTTTAGTTTTAGTTTGCAAGTAAGGTTCTTTTCTAATTACAGTATTTTATTTATTTTCTTGTAATTCCTTTTAATTCCTTATTTTAAATACGAAATTCTTCATCCAAGTTTATTTCAATACAAGTTTTATTTATTTATTTTTATTTATATGTCTTCCTTAATTGCTTTCAATTTCAATTCAATCATGTTTGAGTATTTTTTCTTTTGGATAATTGGACGGGGGATTCCTAACCTATGAACTAGGTTTATACTCTAAACAAAGGTTATAATGTTTATGTGATTGTTTGAATAAGTTATGATTTTAAAAACCTATTTGGTTTGCATTCTTCTCAATTATCTATATATAATTGGTTTTGGTATAAATAGTTAGTGGTGTTTTCTGCAACCTTTAGGATGTTGATTTTTTCATCATAAATTGTCTTTCAATTGATATTTTTAATTCTTTCCAAAGTTTTAATTGAAAATCATCTGTCTGTACTAGTTTGAATACGAAAGCAAATTAGTTATAAATTTAACGTAGAAATACTTGTTAATGGATGGGATGAAATCCAAAGATTATCTGGTTTTTTCTTTTATTGAATTTATCCTTAGCTTAGTTAATATCCAAAATTCTCAACTTTTAAAGAACTCTTTATTTTTATTTTTGTTTTAATTTTATCACTATTCGAATTTGTCCTTCGTTTTCCCTGAGTAGACGACCCCAGTAATCGACCAAGTTTCTAAACAATAGATTCCTATGCTTGGGAACCAATTTATTATCTACCCACTTTTGAGGTCAAGTATTTTTGGCGCCGTTGCCGGAGATTAGAGCATATTTCACACCACCATATGAGCCTTTCCAATATCCCTAACACGAAGACCCACTTGAAGAGAAATCAGAGATTATTTTGAATGAGTTTATGCAAACCCAACTTGCTATCAATGCCCAAACAAGCCAAAATATTGAAGAGATAAAAGACATGCTTAATACATTAACCACGATAGTTGATAATTTGGCCAAAGAACAAGAAATTGAGCATGGTCAATGTAGTGAGAATGGTTCGTTTTCTGAACTACAAACTGAGGATGAATTTATTAATACTCTTGATAGTGAAGAATTAAACGACATTATTATTCCACAAAAGGCTAGTGGGCCCAATAACCTTTCATTTTCAACAAGTATTAATGAGATTCACATATCTAATATTGGTGGGGATATGAAAGTTGAGTTGAATGCCATAATTTGTAAAAATCTTTCATTTTTGTTTTGCAGCTAATAGTTTTTATTATTGGAGTTCAATGCCAGGTGTTTTCCTTCCCTTACTACTTTTATTCTCTCATTGGATTACTATATTTTGCATTGAGGACAATGCATGATTTAAGTTGGAGGGGTAAGGGTTACACCACACCATACTACAACAAAATAAAATTTTGCAACTATTTTTTTGGTCACTAAAAGAATTCAATCATTGCAAATTAGTTTTAACTATGTCTTTTTTTCATCGCTAGGTCGTCATAAAAGTCTCATCAAGGAAAGTATTATGTGACGCACTTTTATTTTTGTCGCCCAAAAATATTTTTTGCGAAGAAAAAAAACGTCGCAAAAATTTAAAAAAGCGTAGCTAAAATCTAATCCATCGTCGTATAAATATAAAAATAAAAATAAAAATTTAATTAATTTTCTGCGATGCATCGAAAATAAATTTTACATAAATAAAAATGTAAATGCATTTGCGATGTGGAAATAAACGTCACAAAATATTTGTATTTGTGATGAAAATATGAAACGTCGCTACACGATTCAATCAAAAAAAAAAAATTAAATAGATTTGCGACGCTAAACAAATGTTTCTAAATAAACGCATTGGTGATGCAAGAATTAATCGTCGCTAAAATTTTGAACCAAAAAAATTTGTAAACATATTTGCGACGCTTCAAAATGTCGAAAAAAAAAAAAAGTTCATCCAATTTTTCGCAACGATTTTAATTTCGTTGCAAAAAGGTTAATTTTTTTTTAAAATAACCCTCATTAAAAAACAGCATTCCAATAAAAATTTTCACCTATACACCACTAATACCTGTGTCACATATTATTCAATAAAAAACTAACACAACTAATACATTTCATATGTTTTCCATTCAACAACCTACACAAACTAACATCAACTACCATACTAATAGAATCACAAAATAGAATATGCTTAATAAAATTTATACAAGTCATCAAAATATTCAACAACTTAATCCACATACAAGTTTTCCAAATATTTAGATACAAAACAAAGTTAATTCTTCAGTCACTTTGATGCAGAAATTCATCATTCATTTGAAATACATTAACAAATTATCAATCAAATTTTTCAAAAGCATACATACGCATTCGCATATTAGGTTTTCTAATTCTTAAGTGTTGAAATTTTTAGTTTTTCTTCAAACTCTTAACTCGAGTCCCGAAATGAGATGTCGTCTTTTTCTATAAGTTTATATTCCCAAATAGTTGTTCTCCATCTGTTTTCACAANTTTTCTAATTCTTAAGTGTTGAAATTTTTAGTTTTTCTTCAAACTCTTAACTCGAGTCCCGAAATGAGATGTCGCCTTTTCCTATAAGTTTATATTCCCAAATAGTTGTTCTCTATCTGTTTTCACAGCGAACAGAGTGAAAATGGGCCAGTTGGCACCCTTAGCTCCAAGTTTTAGGTGTTCTAATTCTTAAGTGTTGACCTTTTTAGTTTTTCATCAAACTCTCAACCCGGGTTCTAAAACGAGAAGCCATCTTTTCCTAAAAGTTTATATGCCCAAATAGTTGCTCTCCATCTGTTTTAACGGAGAACGGAGTGGAAACAAGCCAATTGGCACACTTAGTTCCAAAGTTTTAATTTTTATACTTACTAAGTGTTGAACTTAATAAGATAGTAAAAAGATACTAACCAATACGTGGATGACATATCTTCATTAATTGAGGTGCACTACAGACCACGTTGCATTTGAAGATTCATATGCAAAATCTGCTGCATCATCTGCTGCTACACATCTTCAAACTTATCTAGCTTCACCTTTGTTTCATCACGTTCCATCTGAAGAGAATCTTGAAGAGGGTCAACAATTGTTTGTAGCTCTTTTATCTTATCAGCTTGTTCTCAAGACTCAACAGTGGTTATTGATGACTGACTAGAGAATGTAGGCTTCGGGTCGTAGCCAAATCATTTCTTATATCCAGGTCGGCTACCAAGGATGGTGCATGCAATTTCATCTTGTGTCAATGCCTCTACACCCTCCTGTGAGTTTTGTGTGGACAATTCTTTCATTCACTCCTACGATTTAATGTATTTAAACCCAACTAGTAAGTATATGCGTAACGCCCCAAAATCCACCCTAGAAGACATTACTATCTAAAAACCATCCAATCATGAGAGCAACTATAATAACCATTAAATAATAAATCATTCATCCATCTGACAAAGAATAAATACTAAAGCCAATAAAACATTATAATTTCTTCAACTTACAATTTAAAACCAAATAGTATCTAGCAGTGGAATAATTAAACTAACTAAAATGTTGTTTCAAAAAAATATCAAAACTACATCTCTAAGCCTCCACTTTAGAATCCTTATACTGACCATCTCCATCCTCGAGATCAGCTTGCTCATTCAATCCGAGTTCTTCGTCTAAACCATAATATGAAAAAGATGTTGTTTGTAGGTGGTGAGCACTAAGTTCTGTAGGAAAATTCTTCCAAGCTCGAACAAGGTTTTGAAAACATATAAAACAGGTCGGTCTCATTTTACAAAATATCATATATACTTTTGAAATAAAACAGTGACAGTTCATCAGATCTCAAGTTTACGTAATAACAATAAATTAAATGAAGTAAAACCA